AATATGTTTATTTTGTGCCCCAAGACTAGACTAGCATTGAGTGTTAAAGAACAGTTATTTTCTTTCAAATGATGTTACTTTCTTCCAGAACGGCCTGCTCTTTGCTGAGGTAGGGTGAGGTGTTGATTATCTCAATCCAGTCAAGGATTAAGTAGACCCTCCCTTCTACTGAGATTCTGTCTTCTAAACACTGGGAGACTGTGGGAAATTTTCTCTTCCCCTTTGGCCGAATCTCCCTATCCTTTTTTAGTGCCCCAACTCTGAGCAGATGTAACACTGGGAAAACTGGCTATATTCTAGTCTGTCATTCCAACCCATGCAGACATCTAAAAGCACTACTAGTTTTTTGTTTCCTTTAGTAGAGTTCCTCTGCTTAAACCTAGCTCAATCCTTAGTCATGGCCAAACTCTGCAAATACCCTCATGGAAGAGCATGCCAGTGGTCTGAGTTCACCTTGGAAGTGTTCTCCTATCAGATTTTTAGTGCATCTAGTCCTCATTTCCTCCATAGTTCTCTTATGTTAATCTAGTCTTTGTAGGAAGAGGGAGCATTGGTGTGCTCCTGTCTAATATTGTACTTTAGAGAAGTAGAAGTCAGAAGTTTATCTTTATGAAAAGAAAAGGCAGATAATTTTAAGAGTGCTTATTTGTATAAGCATAGTGATATTTTGAGTGGTTTTATCTGTGTTTTGTACTAATAGCCATACAGTATTTTTTTCCTTTCTGATAATGAGCCTGTTTATTAAACAATACCCTAAACCAATGAGTGGTAAGCAATGTCCCACAGACCAAATCTGGCCCAATTCTTATTTTTGTATGACCTATGAGCTAAGGATGGTTTTACATTTTTAAAAGGTTGAAAGAAAATAAAAAGGTTTTGTGACATATGAAAATTATGTGAAATCCACATTTCTGTGTTCAGAAATAAAGTTTTAATGTAGCCATGCTCCTGTATTTATGTGCTGCGAATGACTGCTTTCATGCTGTAACAGTTGAGCAGTTGCAACAGAGATCCTGTGGCCCACAATGTGTAAGGTATTTACTATCAGACCCTTTATAGAAAAACTTTGCCTATTCTTGCTTTAGACTATAGACTAAGGAATTTTTTATTTCTTATTACTAAGTGAAATTAAGTGAAAGATTGAAAACTTTTTATTCCCGAAGTTCTGTAAATTTGGACTTATTAAAGTCCTAGCATTTTAGAGTTAGAAGGAACCTCAGAGATAACTACTTTCATCTCTTTATTTTGCAAATGAAGGAGATTTGAGAAAGAGATTTTTAAATTAAATTTACTAATTTTTGTTTTGTTAGAAGACAGACTCAGTAATATACTGATAGAGAAACTAGTGATCTACCTCACTGAATAACTTGCAATATTCATTTGTTCTTACATTGCATAAGTATTTGATTTCCTTAAGCAGTGTATCTATTAAGAAAATTTTTTCTTTGGAACTTTTTAAGTAAATATTTAAAAATATTTAAGGCATGTTAACAGCCTTTTACCTTTCATTATCAACCGTAATTCTTTGAAATCTCATGAGTATGACGTTCTTTTTGTGAGAAGACTAAAAGTCTTACAGGACCAATTCTAGACATTCTTCATTAAGCTTCTATTGATTTAGGATTTAAAACCCTAAATCATCAGAAATTCCAAGGTGCATTTGTAATGAAGACTGGCTTCTTGAATTTCTCTTTTGTCTGTCCATCCTCAGATATCATGAAAAGTTTAAGCTTAGCTCTTAAATACAGTCATATAACGGGACGTCATATTACCAGCAAATAGCATTTTTATTTTCCAGTGTTGAATACAGATTTTTGTCAAATAATTTTCAACTTATTACTGGCACTTTTTGTTAACTCTACTCTAAAACAAGCCAAATCAACAAAAAGCGCAGTAAAATTAATTAGTAATTAATCTGGAAAAAGCTCGTTCTTCAGATGGTCTATATTCAAGAATTGGGTTCAGATTCATTATAATTATTATAACCAATTAAATGCCACTATGCACAGAAAGCAGTATTTTAGGAGTGCATGTAAAGCCATTTGAAATTTGAAGAAGTCCATTAAAAATAAAACAAAAACATTGGTCTGTAATTGGGAAAATTTAAGTCAGTGATAACTTAGTCTTTAGGAAATGTATCTGAATTTGGATTTATATATTCTGCTTCTCTGAAAGTTGATTTTGAATAAACCTAAATGCTTTTATAAATTGTATAGAAGGGGGCTAGGCTAACCTTTTAGCAGTTACATATTCCTTTTGCTCAGATAACTGAGTTTGTTCAACTAATCTTTAATGTAAAAGAAGGTTGGTTTCCTAACCCCCCCATGAAAAATACCAACAGCTTGTTCATTTGATACTTTTTGAACATCTGTGATGTATCAGACACTGATGCAGGTGCTAAAAGTAACACAGTTGAAATGGACATTCTTCATGCTCTCACAATGCTTGTAGTTGAATAGTTGTGTAAGCAGGTATATCTATTTGTGTTTAGCGTTTGACACTGTTCTCTTTACTTTCGTAGCATACTATCTGGGGGAAATCTCATCCATATACATGGTTTCCATTACTTCCTTTGCACTAAAATCTGTGTGAAATAATCCCATGGATAACTCCTTAATAGGCATTTTTGATTAGGTATCCTATAAATGCACTCGTGTATCTATGGATCTAACCTTGGGCCTCTGCTTGTTTTACTCTCTGAGTAAGGCATATATTGATAGCTCTGAACTTCCTTGTTTTGTCCCCTTCCTCTCTTCTCTCTTTTACTTTCTCTTTCTCTCACAATACTATTGAGTACTATGTCCCAGGCACTTTTCTGGAAAAAGAGGCTAGAGTAGTAACCACAAAAGACATGGCCTCTGCACTGGTGGAGCTTACAGCTTGGTGAGGGAATGATACATTAAACAAGAATCCCATACCTATTAATAATTACAGTTATAGGTTATATAGTGAAACAAAAGTATATGATGAACTGAGAGTGTGTATCTGGGAAACTCATCCAGTTTGGGAGTTAAACAGACTTTTTTGAGTAAGTGATACTTATACAGGGACTTCACAGATGAATTAGCAGGAGAAGATGTGGGAGAGAATTTCAGGTAGAGGGAAATCCTCTGTGAAAGCCCTGATGGAGCTTAACAGTTTCATACAATTGAAAGGATATTCTTGTGGCTGGACTATGATGGACCAAGTGAAGAGAAATGCAAAATGAGACGGGAGAGGTTGCCAGAGGTCAGTTACTGGAAGAGGATCTTTTAAGCTATGTCAGTGCTTTTAGACTTTACCTTCAGAAAGTTGAGAAGATACTGAGTTTTAAGTGGGGGAATTACCCACTCAGGTTTGTGTTTTTAAAAGTTGACTTGAGTGGTTCCTATGTGAAGAATGAATTGAAGCGGGGTAAATCTGGATGTGCAGAAGGGTTAAGCAACTTTTGCACTGGTTCAGGCGAGAGATGGTGGTAACTCAGATTATTAGCGTATCAGCAGTAAAGATAATGTGGACAGATCCAAGAACTATTTATGAGATAAAAGTGACAAGTTTTTTTGATTATTTTGATTTGAAGAGTGATGCTGAAGGAAGTATCAACAATAAAATTTTCATATGCATGTTATTCCTGTCTATTTGTTGACATTTTGATATTTTAAACACAAACATCTTCAAAATCAAACCCATTTTTTTCCTTTAGCAAAGTAACTCTTCCTTCTAACTTCCCTCTTTTTATAATTGACATGTCTACCTCCAAGTGACCTAGGCTTAAAACATTTTTCTTTTGTCACTGCTCTCACTCAATTAGTTACCAAGTTTTAAGGACTTGACTTCTTCAGCATATAGGATAACGACTTCCTCCTCCTCTTTCTCCTCTTCCTCCCCTTTTGTCATAATTACAGCTACTGCTCTAATCCTATTGTTAGATCATTAAACTGTACTTTCTATTCAAGTCTCTGAGCTCCTTGAGGGTAAGAGCCGTCTTTTTCATGTCGTATATTTGCTACCTAGCAGTGTGCATCTCAGCATGGTGAGCATAAAAAAATATTAAATGAAACGAAAATAAAATGTTTTCCTTGCCTCGTGTTTCTTCTACTGTAATTCTTCCTCTTTACCATGTATTTTTGCTCTTTCTCAAAGTCATTCAGGGGCTTTTTTTTGCTTAAAGATAATTTGGTCTTAGGGCTGTAAGGTAAGGAAAAACTGGTTGCTGGATACATGAAGTGTCTGAGTGAGCTGGGGATTTTCCTACAGTAATTTAGTCAAACGTGACACCTAAGCCCCTTTGCACTGTAACCCTTACTACCACAAAGGGCACCTTTTTTCTGGGAGGCAAACAGAGCTGATACTAATATTTATTGATCAATCCCGGCTGTTGAATAAAGTTTAAAAGAATTCGATGCAATTTTTTTTTTTTTTCAGACAAAGTCTCACTCTCTTGCCTGGGCTAGAGTGCTGTGGCGTCAGCCCAGCTCACAGCAACCTCAAACTCCTGGGCTCAAGCGATCCTCCTGTCTCAGCCTCCCAGGTAGCTGGGACTACAGGCACGCGCCACCATGCCCGGCTAGTTTTTTTCTGTTTTTAGTTGTTTGGCTAATTTCTTTCTATTTATAGTAGAGACAGAGTCTCGCTCTTGCTCAGGCTGATCTCGAACTCCGGAGCTCAAGCAATCCTCCTGCCTGGGCCTCCCAGAGTGCTGGGATTATAGGCGTGAGCCACCGTGCCCAGCCATGATGCATTTTTTAACATTTTAATTTTATAAAAGTTTTTGCAGAATTCAAATTTTTACTATCATTTAATATATATTTCTTAGCTGTCCTATATTGTGTTATCTTCTCATTAGCTACTTCCTGTTATTAGTAGTATCTTATATATGTATGTAGAGTATATTATTTCATAGAAAGAGTTTGTAAGAAAAGTATCCAAGTGTCTGTTTTGAAAATACCTATTTGTGATAAGCTTTGTATGTCCTAATATGAATGTTCATAATTATTTTTCATTTTTTTAAAAATTTTTAGGAATAAGAAAATTTTAAATAAGAAGAAGTTGAAAAGAAAACAGAAGAGCAAATCAAAAGTGAAGACAAGAAGCAAGGTAAAGTTGTTGGTAATTTATAGGGAATAAAGACTTTTTCATATAGTGATTTGAATAAAAATAGCAAGATTAAAAAGATATGAGTATAATTAGCAAACCATTTTATTTCTATGAGTTGAAGTAATTTTGTAAAAGCCCCTTACTATTTGGTTCCACTTTTAGTTTCATCTTTATTTTGGGTGTTTCTTGACCAATAGCTTAGAAGTTAATATGTGTCTGGGTGTTGAAAATTATTTATTCTTGTTATCTTTGATCAGTCCTTTTGGGGGAACATATCCATTTCTCTTTTCTTTTTTCATTCTGACTACAGGTGCTAGAAACTGAGTAAAATTGGCTTGTGAGTTGGGACTTCCATTTGGGTTTGTCATATGCCTTTCTAGACACGAATTAGGGAGACTCTTGGTGTGTCTATATTGTTCTGAGCTTCTTTTGATGTTGGTAGCTGTGCAAAAGAAAAGGCAATATGAAATATTTAGGTGGGATCTTAGAGATCAAAGATCTCTTTTTTCACCTAATGCAGAAATCTCTGTGAAATCTGGTTTTTTTCTTAAATATTTTCAGTGACCAGAGCCCACTTTATGTAACAGAGTATTTTTCTACTGAATAGCAGTACTAAGAAACCAAGAAAGGAGGAAGAGAACAGTCATAACTACGATTTGTGAATAGCTCCACTTGGGGTTAAAGAAACAATAGCTTAGCTGGACTTGTATATCACCTGCAGAGGCTATTGTTTCCTGCCTTTCTAAATTATTGTTCTTGCTGTTGTAACTGAGAGAAATCTACTTAAAAAGTAGTAAACCTAAAATAAGATAAAAGGATGGAGGGATAGAATTTATTTAGTGATACAGCTGGATCCAGGGACTGAATAATGTCATTTAATCTGTGTCTTCATCTCTTGTTTCTGCTTTCTTCTGTGTGTAGGCTTATTGCCTATGGTTACAGGTTGAGACTGCTGGCAGCTTCATTTTCTTTGAGCAAGAATCACTCTCTTCTGCTAGTTCTAGCAGAAAGTCTTGGGTAGGATGTTTTATTTACCTGTGTCATTCACTTTGGCCAAGGAGATGAGATGTTTTGATGGGTTAGACTGAGTTATATTTTTTAACCGTGTGATGGGTGGTGGATGAGCACCCTGATGAGCAGACCACACGGAATGGGGCAGGAGTGGTTACCCTAAGGAAAGTGTTTCTGGGCAGGCAGATAAATAATTTCTGTTTACTATATCACTTCTCATTACTTCTGCTTTGGGGATAGAAGAGGGAAGTGGAGAGTATTCTTAATATACAAAAACCTCCAACAATACAGTCATTCAGATTTCCGACCTCGATTCCTTTTCCACTATTTAATGCTACATGCGAAGTTATAGTATGGGAATCTTGAATACTTTTTAAGTCCTTCTAAGGTTTCATTTGGTGATTTTCCTAAAGTGGTGGCATATGATATCCAGGAAGAGGTGGAAAATCAGAGTCTTTTGTCCCCTTCAATTCAGTCTCTATTAATAGCTTTGTATTCTTAGTAATTCAACTTTTTCTTCTCTTGTCCTCAGTATTTATATCTTCTTTTTAGGAGTAGCTTGTGATAAGAGTTGATATAAATAAATTCATTCATTTATTCCTCAGACATTAATTGCACTCTTGAGTATGTGCAGGCATTAATATTATGCTGAATGTTTGGAATACAAAGATGAGTAAGAAGCATTTCTTGCTCATGAGGATATAGAATAATAAAATTGTGGTGTTAATCTCCTTGGGCTCTATCACTGTTTCTAGATTATTTTTTATCTCCCCTCTTTTTAAAAGTTATTTTTAAAATGCCATTTAACCACACTACTTCATATCCTTCTTTATTGCTGTCATTGAACCCTCTGTTTCTTCTCATCCATCAGCCATCTTCTTTATTTAATTTTCTTCTTACCCAGGTTAGATACCACAGTCTATCTTTGCAGAAAAACTCTTGCTTAATCTACTGTGTTAGTTCCCTATGGCTGCTGGAACAAATTACATAAACTTGGTGGCTTAAAACAACACAAGTTATCTTATAGCTCTGGAAGTTTCAAGGCCAAAATGGATTTCACTAGGCTAAAATCAAGGCTGTATTCCATCTGTAGGCCCTAAGGGAATCCATTTCCTTGCCTTTCCAGCTTCTAGAGGCTGCCAGAATTCCTTGGGTTGTGGCCCTGTTCCATCTTCAAAGCCAGTAGTGGGCGGCTAAATTTTTTCATGCTTCTGACACTTTTCTGTTGTTTCATCTCTTTCTCTGACTGTCCGGCCTCTTTCTTTCACTCATGGGGACCTTTGTGATTATATTGGGCCCATCCAGATAATCCAGCATAGTCTCTCCATCTCAAAATCCTTAGTTTAATCACATCTGCAGAGTCCCTTTTGCCATGTAAGGTAACATATTCACAGGTTCTGAGGATTAGCATACAGATGTTTTTGGAGACCATTCTGCCTGCCACATGCCCCTTGTGTATTTATTATACTCATCTGATAAAACTCAGTCTTATGTGAATCTAGCTGTTTTCTCTTTCCCTGCAACTGAGTTCCATGTGCTGCTAAAGGAAGTTAAACATGAGTTAATGATAATACACGCTCATAATCATCAATCTCAAATAGACCTTCCATAGCCAGACTTCTTATTATTTTTTCTGGTCAATAGTTCTCCCTGTGATTATTTCAAACTTTGCCATTCTCCTCAAACCTCTGATAAATCCTACCCTGCAGCATATGACTTCACTTTCTTACAGGAGAAATCAAATCCATCACTCAGAAAACTTCCTCAATATCCTGATACTAAATGTGTCAGTGTTAGGTCAGGTTCCTTAACAGCAGAGCCTGAGATAGGTACGTAAAGTGTGCAGTTCAGTGAGTTTTGAAGGCAGCATATGACTTCACTTTCTTACAGGAGAAATCAAATCCATTACTCAAAACACTTCCTCAATGTTGTGATACCAAATGTGTCAGTCTTTGGTCAGGTTCCTTAATAGCAGAGCCTGAGATAGGGATTTAAAGTGCGCAATTCAGTGAGTTTTGAAAGATGACACGCACACGTGAAACCACAACTGCAGTCAGGGTTCAGAACATTTCCGTCATCTCCAAGGGTTTTCTCATCCTCTGCTGCATTTCATTCCTTCCTACAACCCTGGCTCTAGATAACAACAGATGTATTTTCTGTCATTGTAGATTAGTTTTCATTTTCTAGAATTTCATATAAATGTGATCATATTGTATGTATTCTTTTGTATCTGGCTTCTTTCCCTCAACATAATGATTTGTGTTCATGTTGTTGTATATATGAATAGTTCATTCCATTTTTTTGCTGATTGATATCCCACTGTGTAGATACATAACAATTTGTTGGTCTACTCACCTGTTGATGGACATCTTGGTGTTGTTTCCAGGTTTTGGCCATTTCAGATAAAGCTGCTGTGAATGTTTGTACACCAGTCTTAGTGTGGATATATATTTTCATTTTTCTTGGGTGAAGACTGAGGATGGAATGGTTAGGTTGTATTTCTTTTGGTGATTTGCCAGAAGGACTCATAAGGCTCAACAGTGATTTATACTCACAGCTAAGATTTATTACAACAAAGGATACAGAGTGAGCAGTGGGAAAAAATATACGTATTGGTGGTGTTTAGGGAGTTACGGCACAGGCTTCCTTGACTGAGCACAGATAACATGCTTTCTCTCTGGCAGTGAACTACAGGCAAATGTGTGGAATGTCTCTGTTCAGGTTGAGCCTTAGTGTCTGAGACTTTTTGTGGGTCTGGTCACCTAGACATATCCTTCTAAGCCACCAGTCATGGTGAGTGAAACTCAGGTGCACATCATCAATCTTGATGTTTATGCAAAGCAATCTGATAGTCCAGGAGGCATGGTCCATTGCTCCAGGTGTTTATAACAAAATCATCAGTCACTACCATAAAGAAAACTCTAAACAGCCACATTCCTGAGGGTTAGCCAAGGGTCATTCATAGAAATACAAGGAGTAAGCAATCAGGCTTGCAGTGTTAACTTTTTCCTCACAGGTGACATGGTAAATGTATGTTTAGCTTTTTAAGAAACTGAAAAACTCTTTTCCGAAGTGGTTGTTCCATTTTATAGTTCCACCCAGTATTATATGACAAATTTGGTTGTTTTACATCTTTGCAAACACATGGCATTAGCTTTTTATTTTTTATTTTAGTCATTCTATTAATTATATAGGGATTTCTTACTGTGGTTTTAGTTCACTTTTCTCTAATGATGTGAACATCTTTTCATGTCCCTTTGGCATTCATATCTTTTTATTGTGAAATGTCTATTCAGATCTTGCTTCCTATTTTTATAATTATTTGTCTTCTCATTATTGAATTGACAGATTTCTTTATATATTCTAGATACAAGTCCTTTTTTAGATAACCTGTATTCCAAATAATTTCTCCTATAGCTTGCTTTTGGGGAAGAATTGCCATTTTAATGGTATTGAATTTGTCAACCCATGAACATAGTATATCTCTCCATTTATTTAAGTCTTCTTTAATTTAACTCAGTAATGTTTTTTAGTTTTTGGTGTATAGGGCTTGCACATATTTTATTAAATTTATTTATAATTATTTTATATTTTGATGTTATTGTAAATGCTATTTTTTAAAAAATGTGGTTTGAGATTATTTCAGTGTGAATGCAGTTGTAAGAAGTAGTTTAGAGATATCCTATATACCCTTCACACATTTACCCCCATGTATAGCCATACAAGCTATACATCTTGTATAGCTGTAGTATAGTATCATAACCAGGAAGTCAACATTGATACAGCCTATCAATCTTATTCAGATTTCAATAGTTTTGCATATACTCATTTGTGTGTGTACATGTTTGTGTGCTACAAGTTCTGTGTAATTTTATCACATGTGTAGGTCCATGTGACCATTACCACCATCAGTATATACCACAATTTCATCACAAGGATCCTTTGTGCTACCCTTACAGCTACAACCATCTCCCTTTCTCACCCTTTCCTTAGCCTCTGGCAACCACTAATCTGTTCTCCATTTATATAATTTTGCCATTTCAAGAGTGTTATCTAAATGGAATTGTTCAGTATGTGATCTTTTGGGGATTGGCTTTTTTCCCCCCACTTGGCATAATTTCTTTGAGATTCATCCGAGTTGTTACATATATGAATGGTTTGTTCCTTTTTATTGCTGAGTGAGCATTTCATGGTATGGATGTACCACAGTTTGTTTAACCATTTATCCATCAAAAGAAATCTGGAGTCTGGGGGCCAGGCATGGTGGCTCATGCCTATAATCTCAGCACTTTGGGAGGCCAAGGTGAGAGGATTGCTTGAGGCCAGGAGTTCGAGACCAGCCCTGGCAACATAGTGAGACCTCGTCTCTACAAAAAAAAAAAAAAAAATGAGCCAGACATAGTGGCAGGCACTTCTAGTTCCAGTTACTCGGGAGGCTGAGGCAGGAGGCTTGCTTGAGCCCAGGAAATTGAGGCTGCAGTGAGCTATGAGCCATGTCACAGCACTCCAGTGTGGGTGACAAAGCAAGTCCTTATGTCTAGAAAATAAACAAACAAAAGTCTTGGCTGCTTCTAGTTTTTGGCTATTTTAAAATAAAGCTGCTGTGAACATTAATGTACTGGTTTTTGTGTGAACGTAAGTTTTTATTTCTCGGGTATAAATGTCCAAGAGTGCAGTTGTTGGATTATATTGTACTCACGTGTTTAGTTTTGTAAGAAATTGCCATACTTTTTTTCCAGAGTGGCTATACCATTTTATATGACCATCAGCAGTGTATAAATGATCCAGTTTCTTCTTATCCTCACCAGCATCTGGTGGTGTCACCATTTATTTTAGCCATTCTGATAGGTGTGTACTATATCTTGTTTTATTTTAATTTGCATTTTCCCATTAGCTAATGATGTTGAACTTCTTTTCATGTGCTTATTTGCCTTCTGTGTAACTTTTTCAGAGATGTGTCTGTCTTTTGCCTATTTGCTAATTGGATTCCTTGTTTGTTTTATTGTTGAGTTTTGAGAATTCTTTATATATTCTGGATACTCATCCTCTTTTGGATATGTGGTTTGCAAATATTTTCTCCCAGTCTGTGACATTAATGCTATTATTTTAAAAATTACATATTTTAATTGTTCATTCCTAGTAAATGGATGTATATTCATTTTTATATACTAATCTTGTATACTTTGACTTTGTTACATCCACATATTATTTTTGGTAGCTTTTTTGCAGATTCCTTAAGATTCTCTACATGTCTTCTGTAAATAAAGGCATTTCTTTTCTGCAAGATACTTTTTATTTTCTAACTCTGCCTTTTTTCTCTTTTTCTTGGCCTGTTGCACTGTATAGGGTATCTAGTACAATGCTGAATTGAGTTGCTGAGAGTAGATAAGTTTGCCTAGCCTTGTTCACAATCTTGGAAGACATTCAGTCTATTATCATGTTGGCTATGGGTATTTCATAGGTACCCTTTATCAAGTTCAGAAAATTCCCTTCTATTCCTAATTTACTCAGACTTTTTTTTAAATCATGAATTGGTATTGGATTTTTGCCAAATGCTTTTTCTGTGTTTATTTGCAGTATTTTAGGTTTTTTCTTTATTATTTTTATTTGGATGGGAAATTATACTGATTGCTTTTCCAGTATTGTGCAAAGATTGTCCAGGGTTAAACCCCAGTTGGTCCTGATGTATCTTTTTAAAAATAATATTGTTGGATTTGGGTTGCTAATATTTGCTTGTTTTTAGTATCTCTGGAGGACTTACAAGTTATATGCTAATTTAACTTTAATATAATCTGTATTTACCAAGAGTATTTCTTTTTTTCCTATTCTTTATGGAAGAAGGGTAAAATTTTAGGACCAAGTGTTTTTGGTACTTGAGGTATCATTTCATTTATTGTAGATACTTCTTCAACATACTCTAATTGTTGGAACTTGCAGTTGTAAAATATCTTAAAACAGTTCTTTATAATGTAGATGTTGAAAGTGTGGTTGCAGTCTGATGAATAAAATTCTGGGCACAAAAGAGAAATTGTTTAGTTTTAACGAATTACCAAGCACATGATTTTTAGCCTTTATTGATACTGATAGCTAAGAGAGAGCTTAGGGAAGCATATATTAATAATCTGCAGTTTTCTTGGCATTACTCTTATTTGATGAATGAGAGTGAAATGAGAAGAATTGATGAAAATTAAGGGTTTTATTTTTGAAGTCCTAATTTCTGTGTAAATTCCTATATCTACTTTTAAGAGAATTCAAAATGTAGTTCAACATTTGTAGTAGGTCATTGAGACTGTACATTGAGACGGGTATCCCTTAGACAGGCAGCAGATTAATTTCCTTTGATACGATACTTCAGCAGTTAAGCTTCGTTGGCTCTATTTCTATCATGGGGATAAAAGGATGTTTCTGAGTTCTTTGCCAATCTCTTTCCAGCCCTTGTTAGGTTGGTTATTGCTGTGTTACTCAAAAAATAGTGAAGTGTAGTAGAAAAGGTACTAGAAATTGAGTCCATAGATTTAGACTGTCTTTGCTATGTCACTTATGTGACTTTTGCAAGTTGGTTAGTCTGTTTAGTCTTTACTTTTTTATTTAAAATGGGAATTGACAATGATGGAAAAGAATATGAAATTGAAATATTCTATCTTGAATTTCAGTCTGAAAACTTGGAGAATACAGTAATCATACCAGATATCAAACTACATAGCAATCCTTCTGCTTTCAATATTTACTGCAATGTACGCCATTGTGTTCTGGAATGGCAGAAAAAGGAAACATCATTGGCAGCCGCATCTAAGAACTCTGTGCAGAGTGGAGAATCAGATAGTGATGAAGAGGAGGAATCCAAAGAGCCCCCTATCAAGCTTCCAAAGGTAAGCCACTGAGTTCTATTTAGATGCATAAGCTACCAGTGTTCTGGCCATAAGACATATATATATGCATTGCTAAAATACCTTGCCTTTTTATAAATTGGTGCACTAAAAATTACATGGCTTATGGGTAAAAATAGGTTTGGGGCAGACCAGGAAAACTTTATGCACTTTATAACTAGAGTGCTAACAAAGTCAGTAATTGGTAACTCAGTGGGGAGTACTTGGAAAGCCCAGGCAGGGAGATCAGTGGGTTGGAGTCTGTTACAAGGGTTATTAAAAATGTACAAAAGCAGTGGAGTGGAAATGCTGGCATAGAGGCATTGATCCCAGGCATATGACAGTGGAGCTCTAAGCCTGTAGGCTGACAGTGAGGTGGATATGATAGAGAACAAACTGCCACAAGCCAGGAGCCCCAGAAAGCTGGGGCTGCTCCCCTCTGGGGAGGGAGCCCTGGGTGCAGGTATGCTTTTTTATTTTTCTTGAAATAGAACTGGAAAGGCTCCTGGCTGTGCAGTAGCAGAGCTCAGAGCCTTTTCCTTTTCTACCTAATCTTATAATTATATTCTTGATATTCTGGCTCCCCTTGCTTAGGAAAAAAATCACATATGAATCAACCCAACTTCTACAATATTCTGATATCACTCCCTTATTTAAAGAAATATATATAAGCTAATTGGCATTATAGAAACATGCATTGTAGAACAAACTATATTCTTAATGTACTCTGTTCTGTTTTAGTATTGATATATTTCAAAACCGTAGTGTTATTTTATATATAATTATTTTTTCTATATTGTAGGTGTAGTATTTCTTTTTTTTTGTTATATGCAATTTCACTTTGCACAAGGGTATGTTATGAAACCATGCAAGTAATATGAATTCTAAAGATAAGTGAAGATTGTTTCTTTTTTTTTTTTTTTTTAAACAAGAAATATAAAGGTCACTGTCATTTCTTATGATTGAGTAATATTCCATTGTAAACATATACCAAATTTTAATAATCCACTCATGGATTGACGGGCACTTGGGTTGTTTCCACATTCTTGCAATAGTGAATTGTGCTGCCATAAACATTCGGGTGCAGATGTCTTTATCGTAGAATGTTTTGTGCTCTTTTGGGTTGATGCCTAATAGTGTTATTGCTGGATCGAATGGTATTTCTATTTTTAGCTCTCTGAGGTATCTCCAAATTCTTTCCACAGCAGTTGCACTAATTTGCAGTCCCACCAGCAGTGTAAGAGTGTTCCTGTCTCTCCACATCCTCGCCAGCATTTGTTGTTTTGTGATTTTTTGATAGAGGCCAATCTCACCGGGGTTAGGTGATAAGTAGGTGTAGTATTTCTAACAAAAGATGTGAAAATATAGACATATTTTTAAAGTGGTACCTTTATATGATTCATGCATATTGTTTTTTAGAAATATAGACATGTTTAAAAATGATTCCTTTATTATAAATGATTCCTACATACTGCCTTTTTTCTAAACTAATATCTTAAAACTATGCTTTGAAAACTTATATATATGCATGAGAGATCATATAAACATTTTTTTACTAGGAAATAGCAGCATAGATGGAACCTATGTTCCTGATCTGATTTCTCTTGCACATCTTTTGATGGGTAGTTATTCCTAAGCGCACCACCACCCTTAATCACATTGTCAGGTTCTTCTCGCCTTATTCTCAGCATGTGACTTGCTACATATTTCATACAGTATTAAAAGTTTTGTGTACTTCCTCAGCTTCTTAATCAGCCATCTTCAAATTATCTTTATCTCCTCCTGTTTCAGAGCAGGACCCTTCTCCTTATTCCCTCTGTCTCCAACGTCTTAACTGCACCTACTCTGTTAGCTTCTTTCTTTAACCTAAAACAAACTTGCTTATTTGTTCCACGGAAGGCCCTCTAGATAGAAGATCATGGTCTCTGATTGTTATTTCTTATGCTTATTTAGGAGAGATTGAGGGAAAAAAACACAGTTAAGTTAGATGTAAGGCTGCAGGACTTTGTAATTTACTTTTAGTAAGAATACCATTCTGTGTATGGGTGAATCACTCTGTACTATAGTAATCAAGCTGCTTAAGTTCCATATTGGGAGGGGAAACAAAAGCCCAGAGAAATCTTTTACACAGGTATGCAGATTTTGAACAGTAAACTGCAATTCAAATTAAAAGATATGCATAATCAAGAACAGCAGGTTCTTAAGCTATTTTAAAACATCAGGATAAATGAGTATTAAAGAAATAAAATATCAGGCATTCTTAAGATAACATTTTTTTCAGCAGGTCAAAAGGGAATCCTTCAAAGAAAATTAAAAGAAGATCAGGTAGCCCAAGTGGTTAATACTGGGTTTTCTACCAAGTACTGACCTGTCTGGAAACAAGGTATAGGGGTTAAGAACATGGGTTATGGAGCCAAACTGCTTGGATTCACTCACCATTAAAATTAATAGTTCTGTGATGCTGGGAAAGGTATTTGACATATCCGTGCCTCAGTTTTGTCATCTATAAATTGGTGGTAGTATCTACCTCATAGGGTTGTAGTGACAATTTAAATGAATTAATGGATGTTGACTGCTTGAGAGAACAGTACCTGATACAAAAAAGTGCTCAATAAATGATAGCTGTAATTGTAAGTGTCAGGTTAGTGCAAAGAAGAAAATGTGTAGGTGCAAATGAATTTGAGTTACTTCTCAAGGAAATCTTCAATTTATTATGAAATACTTTATATCCAAGGTAATGAACCTTCTAGAGCAGTGGTCCCCAACCTTTTTGGCACCAAGGACAGGCTTCATGGAAGACAATTTTTCTGTGGTCCTGGGCAGGGGTCGAGGGAGAGGGAGTTGGAACTCAGGGAGCCGCTGTAAATACAGATAAAGCTTCACTTGCTTGCTTCCTGCTGTGTGGCCTGATTCCTAACCAGCACGCAGTACCTGTCTATAGCCTGGGGATTGAGGACAGCAGTTCTAGTGAATCAGCATGGTCGTGAGATGAATGAGCTATGAAGAGGGAGGAAGAAGTGAGGAGATGCCTCTTTGCAGAAGCAATCTGAATGCTGTGGGTTGGGACATGGGTAGGGAGTGAAACTTTCAAGTGGTATTTTTTGGCTCTTTTTGCTTGACATGAAGGATTGACACTAAGGAAGAGATGAGATCTTTAGGATTTGAAGTGATGGGAATTGGAGGGCATGTGAGAAATACTGACATTTTTCTTTTCTTTTTGACCCTTTCTGTGCCTCAGCCCCAAATGCTGCTATCCTTTGTTTCAGTTCCTTCCTTTTCTTTGTTCCCCTGTTGTACCTCCTACACATGGGGCTGTCCTTTTCCTTCTCACCTGAGGTTTTTCTCTCCTACGCCTTTTTTTCTCACATGATTAAGGCAGTTTTTAATCTGTTGTTGAAGTGTCATTGTGATACAATTTTATTTCCCCATTCTTTTAAAAGTTAATTAAATAGAATTTGGCTGTTATGTAGACCTTGATTATCACTTTTTTTGCTTTTTGTTTTTATGTTTCATGGGTCAGTAATTATTGATATTTTAAAAAGCTTTCTTACCCCTTAGTGATTTTATGTGAAGTTTTTTACACAGCTCAAACTGTCTGTCACTGATAATCCAGATCCTCTAAAGCTTTCCAAATTTTATAGCTACATAATTTTTAAATAGTAATACTTAGGATTCATATTTCCCATTGAACTCATTTGAAGCCAGTCATGCCACATATTTTATTAAAAGATGTCAACTTACGTAGACCCATTTATTTATTTCTTAATTCGGTATATTCTTTTTTTGAGTTTGTAGCGAGCATTGTATTAGGCCCTGAAAACAAAAGAATGAGACATAATTCCTGCTCTTAAGAAAGCATTGTCTAGTGGGGATAACAAGCAGGTCAATACATAACTGTTGTCTAGTGCCTTACAGATTTATAGGGTATGTAGGTATAGTGGAGCACATGGGAGGAAGGACTACATGCTGGCTGAGATAGAGAGCAGGAGCTAGGTCATAGAGGGCCTTATGTGCAGTGTAACTGATTCAGATATTGTCTTGTGAATAGGAAATACTGAAGATTTTAAACAAAAGAGGATGATCAGACTTGCATTTTATTTTAGTAAGATTACTTGGGTGCTAATAAGGCATATCCACTAAAGAGTGGTGAGATTAGAATCAGAGGAACCAGTGGGCAGTTATTGCAGTTCTCTAGGAAATGTTAATGAGGGTTGGAATTATGGTAGTGACAGTGTTTTGAATACAAGAAATGTTAAGGAAGCAGAATTGACAGAAATCGGTAATTAGTTGGCTATGAAGGCTGAAAGAGAAGGCAGAATCTAAGCATATTATTAAAGGCTCTGCATGGTGATGCCATTTACTTGAAGAGGGAGAACTGGAGTAACGGTGCTTGGCCAAAATGATGATTAAGTTTAGTTCTGCACTTACTAATTTTGAGGTAAATGTGAAATGTCCAGTGTGTACTATGTAGGGCTGAAGTTCAAAGGAAAGGTGCCAGCTAGAGATACAGATTTGTGAGTTATCACTGTGTGGGCACAAGTTGAAACATAATTCTTTGAGAGACAGGAAGGGGTGGGATCAAGAACATTGAAAAAAAAATTAGCTTTGACAAATTGAAAGAACACTTTTTTCCTCAGGTGGAAGAGAAGGGAATAAGTTGGTGGTAGTGGTAGATAAATTGGCACATTTGAGGATAGGAACTTAGGCGTTTCACACTGTCATTTTCTGAGAAGCAGAATTCTTCCTCCTCTTCTCCTCCCTCCCTCTCTCTTCCTTTTCCTCTACTGTTTCCTCCTCCTCTCCTCTCTCTTCCCCTAGATTTTAAATTTTCTATTAT